AGAAAACTGTCCCGGTGAGAATGCTCCACGGTTTAGAAATTAAACATGGTAGAGGAACAGCGCCTAGACAAAAGTTATGTTTCGGGGAGGAGATTACAGAAACAGAAGGTCACACACTCTAAAACTGTCTTCGTACTGAGTCCGGTAAAGATGGTGGATTTAGAGATAACTTCGTCCTATGATATTCGATACGTATCAAATGATACATCATTTAAAACCAGGCAACTAACTCAATACTCTGAAAAATCTACACACTAACTTGTATAAAACAAATTATATTTTGATCCAATATATAAACCTACATGAAATGACAGGAACATAAAAGCATATTAAAAATAAATACCTCAGAGAAGTAAAATCTACCAATTATTTTGGGCTGTTACTGATACTAACTTCACTGGGACACAAACTGTAAAATTTAGAGTAACTTACAGCCCCAATCTATTTAAAATTAACAGAATGTCTAAAATAATTCAATTGCTTGTAATAATAGTATCTATTAGCCTATATGTTAGTACACTTAAATTTTTATATCGTGACTGATGAAATTACATGAAAAGGCGCAAATATATTACAGACAAAACTACCAGACTTCAGTTAAATTTAATATTATTCCACTAGCCAGTGAATTATTTTTCTCGATCTTATTATTTCTAGTGGATAACACAGAAACATTTCAAACAAACTGACACGAGACACGTATAACATTCATTTAACAAACACCAGACTCTATAAATACAAAAAAGGAGTTTACCATAATGTAATTACACTATTCAATAATCTCCCCCCACCCCACTATAAAAACCATGAAACATTACATAAAGAAATTCCAGCCAGCATTAGAGAGTACGTCATCTCACTCCTATTCCGTTGAAGAATTTACTCAACCAAAAACATTCTATTCAAATACATAAAGTAATAGCAACAAGTTCACTGATCTATAAATTAACTGATTAAAGTGTAAAAATCGTACAGTATCCATTTTGCCAAAATAAGGTGCTACATATTTCACAGTGAGATCCCAACAAATTTTGCAAGTATTTCTTCTACAATAAGAAAGCAATTAGAGACATAGCAGATAATCTGTAAATGTTTAAAGAGTTTAAAAAAATTGCCTCTAGCCTTTACTTTTTAATATTCCTGCATTACTGACAACAGGGTAAAACAGTACAAGTCCTAATAGTTCAGGAAGTGAGAACATTTATGCAGATATTTTATACTGTTTTATGAAACAGGTGCAGTTGTTCTTGGTATGTAGTAAGTCCCATGCCATGAAGACATACAGGGAAAGTTCTCCTTGACCTCACCACTAGATGGAGGTGGGCATTTAGTTACAGGTTAACAAAAATTTCTGAGTGTAGTAAAATTATATCTAACTCTATGTACAATGTAGAATTGGTATGAAATCATTTGTGTAATTGCACATGCAATTTAGTCCATTAGTGTGCTTTGTTCTTGGGGCATTTTCTGTAACTGTGTTGTTTTCTGAATGTGATATAATGTTCTCTGATTTGCTCTACAAAAAACTTCCTAAGCAGTATCTATATTAGATGTCATATATTTGTGACTCTTTATTTCACATAATACACTCTTGTAGTATTCAGCCATTATGAATTGTTATTTAAAATACCCCACATATAATACTGTTATTTACCCCATATCATTTTAACATGATGAATAAATGACAATATAATACAAGACAAATATGTTTTTGTACTCACCATCGCCCACGTGTCTTGCCATAGAAAGAAGTTCATTGAAGAACGACCTTGAAGATACGTTCATTTTTTCCCACGGCCCACATAAACTCACGACATGAAACAATTGATATTTTCTTGCCATAGTTAATGATTTCCTACGGAACAGCACAGTACTTCACATACACACTCGTTGTTTTCCAATATTCACGACGTTTACGAAATAAGGAACTTCAACTCTGAGATTCACACATTGACAGGAAGTTGTTTAAGATAATGTTACGATATTTTACCAATACGCAGCGCCACTTTCTGCTGTATCAACTTGCAATGCAGAGGTAATAACATGGCATTATCACACAAGGGAGTGCAAAACCATCTGCATGTAACATAACTGAAACAACACTGCGTCAACTGAACTCTTTCGGAACTATCGACTCCTTCCACTTAGTTATTAATTTTTAAAATTAACGTAATCCCAATTTAGAATACCTATTACGTGCGTTTACTTCGAGAAACAAATTTAACACGCATCTCAGCCTGCCCAGTGTCCTGCATCAGCAAAAGTGTTCGTTCAGTGCATGCCAAGTTTTGAGTGGAACACACAAACGTAACCATGGCAGGGTATTAAAATTAAATTCTATTACACAGGGATGAGGTACTTAAAAATCTTTTTACGAAATCATAATGATTAGAAACGCACTGTGCATAAATTTGTTACCAATATATTTATAATAATTCGCCACCACTAGGAAATGTTTGTTTGAAACAGCGGGGAAAATATTACTTATTTTATATTTCAGATCTTTAAAAAAAAACGAGAAGGAAAGGTAGAATATTGCGACTAAATATGCATCTTAAAGATATAAGCGTTTTTATAAAACCTGGATGTTTTCGTAATTATAACGATGTTTGTAGATTTTGAAGGAAGAGGAGGGCATTTGGCCAAAGCCTATTATCCCGGTATTTTACTGGAACGCTTTACAAAACCCTGTGCCATGTTTTTGGGCCTATAACAGATCCATGGAATGCGAACGAATTCTGTTATACTCCTCAATCAATAAAGAAGGCTCTTTGACCAAGAGTTGGACACACTTCCCAAAATTCAAGCCCGATTAGTTACCGCTGGGGACATCTGGATTGAGCACCCTATAAAATATATTTTAAAATAAAAAAGTACTGGCTAAGACCGTTCTTTTATTTAAACTAGCGAGTGAAATAGAACAAAACTCTCCATTACTTTACACTCTGACACATACGAAGGACCTTCCGAAAAACTAGCAGGCGCTCCAGGATCTCATTAAAATGATCGAGTAAAGACGGGAATTTTTTGGAAACATATCAGGCAGGGAAACATTTTTGTCCATAATTCATTATTTTATTTGTATAAATACCCACAAATATACTCATCATAATTTGAAACGATACAAATTACATTATGTGTCTATAGTAATTTTATGTGCCCACTGGATTATTAAATCCACTGAAGTAACAATAAATAAACCTAAGTCATGGAACACAGTATCCTGACAGTTCTGAGTATGTTTGTCTCCGGTGGCAATTTAAAGTATGTTAAATCATCACTCAGGTAGCAAAGCAAACAAACCTGTTACCTGACATCATCCAAACCAGACACGCCTCTAACCAGAACCTCCATACTCCGTTAAGTTCATCTACTTTTCCTCCACTTTGCTGGAGATCGCAAATACGTGAATAAAATATGGCGGCTAACATTTAAGGAAAAATATTTATGAATCTGCCACCCAGGAATCGAGACCATTTATTAAAGGAAAGCAATCAAACAGCTGTCAACAAATAACAGTAGGCGGATGGAATTACTAAACACGATCAGGGTACAGTACTTCAACCCCTTACATGTTGGGTTATTTAAAAGTACTTTATTTTGTTTGTACGTTTCCACCTTAAATCAAAGTACTCAGTTTTGAAATGCCACAAACGATTATTTTATAATTTTTAAACACAGTAAAATTTTATAATGAAAACGCTTAAACAACAGATATATTCAGGACAGAGAGAAAAAATAATCTCCGCTTAACGCATGTTGTTTAGAGCCCTAATACGATTAAAGAGGGATACATTTAAAACGCCTCTGACCTCTCGCCCCCCGCAAATCAACTCCTAAACATGTTGACCAGATAATAGACAGATATAAATTAGTAATTTAAACAATTCCTCAGATTTGTCAGTCTGTAATTTCCATGAAACGAACTAGTGAAGTCTGCAAGTAGTAATTTCTTTGTATTTGTATTTATTCACACAATACGATAAACAGATTAAATACACAGAACATGTGAAGTAGTTGCTAAAATATTTTTGCGCACGATGTGTAAGTAAGGCCCTAAATGTGTTCGGAAACAGCAAAGTGGACAGGTGTGCTCCATGTGATGTATGCATATTTTCAAAGCGCGTTCTTTGTTCTTCTGCAGCTCTCAATTGACCTTTGTGTCAACTCTTCGTTGCCGAAACTCGTCTAAAAACACCTAAGAATTTAGTCCGTACCTCAAAGAAAACACACTACTCAATGACAAAGACGGGATTTGTTAACTAACGATGTTTTAAGGAAATAATCCGTTTACACCGAGAATCATACGAGACACACAAACACAAAATGCAGTGTTACTGATTGTTAAAGCAGGTGGTATATATAGTTACCGCTAGGCTTTAAGGGGTTTATTTTTTATGGATACGTATCTGCGGTTGCACAATGAGAATTCCATTCCACACAGCCACACATTGTTTGTGCTCATATTCAGGACCTCAAATGGCAAGCTTTGGCAAGTTCTTATGTTACTTTTTGGGAAGCGAAATCAACGAGGCTACGGTAACACGTACGTGCATCTCGGATGAGGGAAACGAAAACATGCGTACAAGATTTGGTGGGGAAAGTCCTTCGAGAGTGGCCAGTTGAAATACCCAAGAAATTGAATTATGTATGTCATGTTTAAGATGAATTTTAGTGCATTTATTTGTGATAAAAGGTGTTTTAACTAAATGGTGCTGCGAAGTTTGGTCATTCATTCACGGCATTCCATACGTTGTCTAAATGGCGCTGCACAGACAGAGGTCGAAGATGGGATTTGTGTAACCTAACCACAGAGTGTCCTGATTAACTGTGATGTGAACTTTAAAGCTCGTACACACCTGCAAACACTGTCGGTAAACTCTGTTTGCCTTGTATACCGCCTATTGGCAAACACTGTTCCACTTCAGTCACTTTCTCAAAGAACGGACGAGGTACGGCGATAATCTTTTGGCAGACTTCAAAGCAGATGATTGAGTTGGCTTCAGAAATTTTGTCAGAATGACAACAACCGATTTTAAAATGTTGCTACAAATGATCGGTTGCAAAACATAAAGCTTCGACGTATTCTCCCTTGCGTTCATTCTGAGCACTTTCTCTGGCCGTAGCTCACGAGATACACTGACAACGAGTTTAGAAACAGGCCCACATTTGCTAATAACGTATCTCGCTTTCCATTACCAACGAGAAACAAGATCCACCCAATATCTGTTTGCATACAGACGAAATTCCGACAAAACGTGTTCAAAAACTGTTTTCCAACACTGTTTGTAGATGTGTACGAGTCTCTAGCGACGCTGACGGACAGTAGAGCCATCCTCAGGGTATCGACGACAGTCACCTACGTAATAATCTCACGGCGACGAGTTTGAAGATTGCTGTCTTTTGGGTTGATGTGTCGTGTAGTCTCGTGCGTAAGTTGGCCAGATTGTGGTCCGCCATTCTCCTAATGGTTACCTTAATTCCACCCGATCTTCACACTCTTCCCCACTGATCCCAACAAGGATCTCATTTTCAAACTGATTCCTCGAGTGCGAGTTACTTATCGCCCTGATGATGGAGACAGGAAGGACCCACGAAACGTCGGTAAACTTATACCAAACTAAACGGCGCAACAACCCAGAAGACAGCCATCATCGTACTTTCCGCCGTACGAACCCGAGATCTCGCCAAAAGATTTATTTTAAAACAAACTGAGTTCAATTTCAGAACCACAAATTTACTAACAAAACAATTAATTTTCTTAACATAGAAGCACATGTTAATACCTTTATCCATATCTATCAGCTGAACGGTAAAAAAAGCAAGACAATCCTCGCGACGTGCACGCTCTACAACAACCCAATGTTTCTCCTTAGCCGTAATTTTAAACTTTAAAATGTTTAATGTATTTTTAAATGTCACACGAAGTTTTACATTCATACCTATTTCTGTAAAACAAACAGTAAAAATGAATACATGATTTTTCCCACCTTCATAACTACGAAGTTGAAACGAATAATAAATGTTTCTGAGGACGCTGCGACTCATTGTGTATAACAATTCTGCTAGAATTTAACTTTAAATCACGTTTCGGAAGTAGGTTCTATTTCCATCTTCAGGTTACAAGTGCAAGGAGAAATATCTACTCTGATGGGTCTTTCTCACACCGGTCACTTTAAATCCAAAGTATAACAAGCTTCCGAAACGTCGTGGTTTAAAATACTCAGACGGATTAAGACCAACAAGAATTAGCTTATATCTCACGCAAAATGCATAACAGATTATGACGTATTATAAAAGCAGAGTCAGTGTCACGCTTAAGCAACAAACAATGAAGGAGTATGGGGAATACAGGGGTAAAACCCCTACATTCTTAGACGCCGTGACTAGATGAACAGCTTTAAGGATTGGCTACATCATGAGTACCCAATGGACAGTCAGTCACTGGCAACCAAAATCCAGCGGTCGCCTATTTCTGATTACTTAACGACAACGCACTACTACTTCAATAAAATAAACATATAAAGCTTAGTTAAGGCTCATATCTTAACGAATGCAAAGTTCCTCTGGCCTATTTCAGTGTTGATTTAAATATACTTTAACCACGAGTCAGTGTTTTGTTCAGTCAACCGTGAAGTACCCTAAACCACATTTAAATACCATATGCACCACACTGTAAATTATATTTTGAGTTGCCAGAAAGTAATGAACTCACTTTTTTTACACTTAGGATGTAATATAAGACTGTACTTATAAAAACATAACACTAAATAAAATTATTAAGCAGTAGAAAGAATGAAGTACTAATAACTGAAGTTTCTTCACTGATGTCTGTTGGTTTTCTGAGATATTTTGTCTTCACTTCAAGAGTTCTGTACCTGTAAGTGAAGAGAAATCATAGTTAAAAAAACTATTCACTCAAAAATGTCCGTATTTTCATTAATATAGTACACACTAACTTGTTGTAGCCTTCTAAAAGTCCTTGAGAAGCTAGATAAGAGATTTTATGGAATCCGAAAGTTCATTATCGTGTTCACAAGAGACCATAATCGGTCCAGTGTTACTACTGACAAGACGAGCAGTAATAAATAATCTACTACCTGTAAAATCAAACTTTATACAAGGATTCGGAATCTACTACACTTATCTGCCAAAATATTAAATTAGTACAGTCACAACAAAAATGTATTTCACATCGTCTTTATGTATCAGTAGTAATTATTAACTAAATCACAAACTTATCAAACCAATCAAGTAGCACACTTAACTACGTTCCTTCTGACTTAACTCATTACCTAACTTCACAATCTGCCGCTGGTGGTTCAAGCCAAAGTTTCAATACAACTAAAATCAAGACATTATTCCATACAGCCAATCAATTTTGCTACGATTAATCATCGCATTATCCTTCAATTTCCTCCTCTCCTGCGTTTCTCCCATCAACGACTGACAATTCTTAAACATCTTATTTGTAACGAAAGAGACAGCTCGTTTCAGAATAAAACTCTAATCAGTAAGGTCGCGAAAACGCCCCTGATTCCACCATTGAGACTCATGTTTATACGTCCTTACTGTACTCTCATGACTTAGCTGGGACATGGCACAAAAACCCCTCACGTTTCTGCTACCATTTATAACTAAGAATTAAAGTCGCAGAAAGGCGGATTTTCGGGGCGAAACGTTTTGAAAATGCCTACAAAACTTTGTGTACGAAGGTAATCTGGTTCATCGTCAGGAGAAGCAGGAAAGGGCGAGAGTGCGGCAGGGTGACACAGATAATGGCTGAGCAGTAAACTGCAAACACTGTTAACTTGATGGCAAACGAGAGGAATTTACAAGGAAGGGAACTCCACGTAACTAGAATGATGATATGACGGAACCCGAAAGCCTCCCTAGACCACTACCTCGGACCTTTTTAAGCTTAAAATTATGTAAACATAAGCGGCATAGAAGACTAACGTTTTTATGTATAGTAGTATACAACAATGCGAGATGTGAGAAGGTTCTCATGGTCACAAGTATGTTGAACATGCAAAGGAGTATGGTCTGGTACACACGCAAGATGGCGCCACATCGCATTCCACACGAATGAGTACGGAGGGGCGCAAGATGATCGATCCCGCAACGTTTAATCTCACGGTTTTGTAATTTAAAACGGCCACCAAGATCTCCCGACTTCTCTCAACTCCCGGCTGTTCTCTGTTGGGTCGTCTAAAGAGTCGCGTATTACAGCCGCGGCTCGCCGCTTTGGATGAACTCGAGATCAATATGAAAGAAGCGATTCATGCATGACGTTCCTCCGAAACATTTGTAAGATCAAATGGCGTCACAACTAACAAGAGCAAAATCCATATTTCCACCGCCGTGCCATCCTCAAATCTCACGATGCGTGTGTGCGTACACAAAACTGAGTTCTAGCATTTCCACCGCCGTGCCATCCTCAAATCCCACGATGCAACTGTGCGTACACAAAACTGAGTTCTAGTTACAGATCACTTGAGTTTAAAACGGTTAAAAACCACGCACAGCATGCTGACTAGTACATCCACTGAGGAACTGTTCTAAATATTTTTTTCTATTAGAATTAGAATTAGAATGTCCCATTGATCCTTCGCGCCATGAGATCACAACTGATAATTTGCTCTTGCGTCGAGAATGTGTTAGACGAAAACAAAAAATTCGGTCTTTTGGAAGGACGAAAAATTCTCTTGTTCCTTCTGGAACAGAGAGATCAAAAAAGGGGGCACAGAAGACAGAAAAAAAAGTAAAGAAAAAATGAGAGGAACGAAGGGGAGATACAGGCTACTCTTCTTTCTTTCTTTCTGGAAAAGAAAAAAAAAACAAGACAAAGTGGCGAACTGTGGAGGAGACAGGTCGAAGAAAGAGAAAGGTCTTCGTCTTCTACACTGCCACATTACGGGAGCATCGAGTTAGCCTTGCATGATTAACACCTGCATCCACTTACAGATAACACTTCCACACACCAGGCCGCTGAAAAGTGATTGTTAAAGTTATCTGGTAACAAAGACAACGAAGTTCAGAAACTGTTACGGGTTCTCTGAAGGAGGTGCAAATATGAGCGACGCATGAGAGACCGTGCCCGCCAACAAACATCAGTAGTGGCTTCCGGTAGTCAAAACCACGCACCTTCAGATTATTCACGAATTAATTTCTCCCAACTGCTGAAGGAAGACCCAGTGACGCAGAGTTCGTAATCGGTCCTGACGTGCAGCTACAACGACAAACACAGCGCTGGTTGATAACTAACGGCCCGCCATCAGTCACGGCCCGTGAAACACCCTTTTACCTTGATCGCTGCAGTAATGCCTCTTCACTTCACACACAAAATGACATAATAAGTATCCCCAACACATCCCTGTGCAACAATCCAAACCTATATTCAGTTCATCATTACGGAATATGAATGTACAGCCACAGGACCGACGAACTGAAAACCTTACACAGTCTAACCGCGTATTTGATGCAGTCACTACGAACCAGTACAGTGTTAAAGGTTGATCGACATTGAATTTCGCTAACCCCGCGCAAGAGCGTCATTTTCACCTGAGGAATCAACAGTTTCTCATTTCTCATCCTTTCCCGTCAAGCAACTAACAGGCTCATCACAGCGTTCACGAATGTCCATCTTTCAATCCCGTCTTGAACAAAACAATTTTAACAAATTCGTCAACAACCTCTTTATAATTAGTAACGAAATAATTACCCAGACAATATTTCAGGTTATTACGACAGCGAATATGAAGATGGTTGTCTTCTGGGTTACTGAGCGATAATCACCCTGATGATGGGGACAGCAAGGACCTCTGAAACGTCGGTAAACTTCTACGGCGCAACAACCCAAAAGACAGCCATTTTCAACTGATTATCTGTACGTATATAACTAAACAACCGACGAAATGAATGTCTTATTAAAGGAATGACTGATAAACTACAATCATAGCAACTACATATCCCCGGTGCAAGACTTTTCGTGACAAGTCGAAAGTTACAAAACCGTCCTACTTACACATGTACGCTCTCTCCCTCTTCAGGCATTTTTTTTCCGGCGAATATCACCATATCACTTTCATATGACCATCGGCAAGCTATAGGAAAGACCGAGGCGTCGGAGGGCAGGTATCCTAACCGCATCCATAATTTTCCTCAGTCCTTAAAACTAAATTAAAGGCTGATAACTCGAAATATACACGAGAGCTTCATTCTACATCTTTTCACACTCCTCATTCATAATAAATCTCTCGTTCGTCGCTTTATAATCTACGCGGTTTAGGAAACTCCGTTAAGCAAAGTAAGAACAATTCATAAAAGCCCCACGCATGAAGCGGCTTGGGAGGGTGGGGGTGGGGGGGTTAGAAAGGCGACCTGGGTGATGTGATTTGGACAGTGATCCAGAATTTTTAACACACAAATGGGCCACTCAGCGCGAGAGGGAGCTAGAGACATAAATATCCGTGCCTACATACGTATCAGACTTCGGCCCTTAAAAGGTCAATATGTCAGTTGCACACACTGCGGATTGTACCCGTGACACAGTACCCATACTTAACGACGACAAAGCATGAAATTACCCGCCCACACCATCATCATAATCCCATAATGATCAAAAGCTATTCATTTTTGTCGCTTCCCGATAGCTCCAAATGACAGGGGGTGAGGCATCACGCTATACACCTGTGACTTGACTGCCTCATCGTCCGCTCCACTTCGCCAGCCACAAGTTTCATACGGAGCTGTCGCCTAGATCTAGACAGAACAGTGCAATAAAAACAGAATCCTGCTGCTAGCACCTAGGGTCAAAGGTTACAGCATTTTGAAACCATGTTACAAATATGTTCTACGATATCTTGCATAACTCTTGACCTTAATGTGCATTTAATGCACATAGGAATCTATAGCTGTATAGCCTGGTAGAAGATTACCGAGTTTTCAGATGTGGTCACGACCATCGTCCTGATGATGAAGGCAGCAAGACCCTCTGAAACTTTGGTAAACGTCTACCAGGCTACACGAAGTAACAACCCAGAAGACAGACAACTTCATACTCGCAGCCGTGAGAACAAAGTCTCAATAAATTATCTTTAAATTTCATTAAATACGTATTAAATAAGAATGTTTCATAGAGAAGCATGAATCTTAATGATAAATGTTTTATGTTGCGTGTAATATAAGGAATGATGGAAAGTTTTTGAGAAAATCGAAAAAACTCAATTTGTGTTACTGATATTTTGGACACGTCCGACGACGTTTGGGAAGCTGGTTCTGTCTCCGTCCTCAGGTGAAAGGTATGAGTACCTACTCAGGAACATTAGAAAAAGACAGTCATGAACACTGGTTCAGTGGTTCGGGTATTTTCACGAATTTTATTTCAAAAAATTACTTTACAGATAATGCTCACATATTCACCTGAGGACTAAAACTGACAAAGTTTCTGAATCCTATTCTGAGCCGAATTATAGACGACGGACAAAACCACAGATTGAGCAACATCAATTTAAATATACTATCATCAGATAGAACACTTCAGACATATTAAAATTCCATTTAAATGTCAATTTTTTTTCTGAGATAAATTTTAATATTATTCTTTCATCCAAGTCTAGGTCTCCCAAATGGTCTTCTTCATCGAGGTTTTCTACAGATTTTATGTAATTCTATTCTCCGTGCATGCCACATATCCAACCAATCCCATCCTTCACGATAACACTTTGAGGAGAAGAATCACAATGTAAAGTGCGTACGACAAAATTTTCAAATTCAAATTCGGGGTCGCCTTCCACTGCTTCTAAACCCACCATTAATGAACAATTCAATTTTGTTGGCAAGGAAATCACGTCCCTCTTTGTACACAGGCCTACAA